AGGCTGAGGCAGGAGAATTGCCTGAACCCAGGAGGCGGAGGTTGCGGTGAGCCGAGACTGCGCCATTGCACGCCAGCCTGGGTAACAAGAGCGAAACTCCGTCTCAAAAAAAAAAAAAAAAAAAGAACATGAACCTTTGTTAACTCTGCAATCCTGTTCCGGGCTGACTTCCAATCCAGCCCTGTGTTAAGTCTTCTAAAACCAGTGTCCCTTAGGTTTTACCTCGAACCTTTGACTCTATTAACTCTTAGTTGTGATGTGGGCTGCAAAAGGCCATATGAGCCTGCTTGAACTAAGGCGAGCGGAAGTCCAGGCTGTGAATGACAAGTGAAGGCGGGCCCTTCCATGTTCAAAGGAGCCAATGGAGGACCGGGTGGGCAGTGAGTGACAGATGAGGCGGGTCCTATCGCCTAGAAGAAACAATAGGAGGGCGGGAGGGCGCTGAGGCCAGGTGGGGAGAGGTGAGCGGGTGTGTGTGAGCACCCTGAGTGGCTGCGTCATGTCAAAGGTCTCTTCCCTTTCTTCAGACGTTTTAGTAATCCGCTTCTGCAGAGGAACCCCCTGGGGGGTGCTCTGTCCCGCCTTTCCACTTTCCCCCCTTCTCACCCGGCCGTGTCACCAACCACTCCTTTGCTCAGGCCGAGTCTCTTCTGGTGGCCGGGAACGCCCACTCACCCGCCCGGGACAGTCGCGGCCCTTCCAAGCCTCACACTGCTTTCATAGGACCAATTCTGAATACCCGAACTCGGAGATATCACGGGGGCTCCCCCCAGAACCCCAAACGCACCTCTCCTTTGGCTGGAATGGGACCCTCCAGAAGCAGTGCGAGGCCACGGCCAGAGACAGAGGTCCTGGCGCTGGCAGAATGACGCCATTTTTGTTACTTTTAGAGCTCGGCTTCGCGGCTCTTTCGGAGCCAGCGAAAGATAAGCTCCCGCGTCACCCCGAAATCTTCCCGGGAGGACTGGAAGGCAAATGGCCTTTCAGGGGATGTTGAATGCATTTGGGCAGGC